CTGCCTAAACGGATCTGATTGAGCCAGTGTGAGCCACTGTTGAAACCGGTGGAATGTGAAGACAGCGGAGCAGGCAAACGAGCAAACTTTGCAAGCAAAATCAGTGCGTCAGTAGTGGGCTTAATTACCTTCCAAGAAATGCGCGTGCGCGCAAAAGAATGTGAAACCTTGAGGACCCACAAAAAGTGACTTGGAAAACGGACCAAATCCAGAAAACGCGGGAGTTGGAAGTCATGGGATGGTGCATCTGTTGAAATTGCACCACGTGGCCCCAAGCAAACCTAAAATAACCTAAAGCACCTAATCATTATTTAATTATTGCGCTACTTCGCCATCCTTTGATTTGCGTAAGGAACCGGAAGAACTTTTCTCCAGCCAAGGAACAAAATGACCGGAAAACAACTGCACAACCCGGTATCTCCCAAGGGGACATGAAATGCGCGCCCCACTCACTGCCAATCTGTCCAAGACGCAAAGCTGTGCTTCCACATGTCGCGAGTCACCACCACAATTGACGTCGCCCCACGTGACAACCTAAACTCCGCAACGCGGCCGTTGACACGGTTGACACTGAGTGGCAGGGCCCCGGATGTGTTCATTTCCTATCCCGCACGCTAGTGTGGATTTCTGGTTTTTCCTGCTTGACCGCCGCGATGCGACTCCACCTCCTCCTCATCCTCCGGCGGCCGCCTCCCTCAACACCAACTGTCGCTTGACTGACCCAGCTCAACTCACACCAACCCTTCCCGCCCAAGTCAAATCACCCAACTCAACTCACAACTGAAATACACCAGCTCAACTCACACCAACTCAGCTCACCCAACTGAAATCACACCAGCTCAACTCACACCACCTTAACTCCCTGAAGTTCTCACCAACGCAACTCACACCAACTCAACTCACCCAACTCAACGTTCACCAAGTTAACTGCTCGGAGTTGTTGATGTGCAATTTGTGGGATTGCGGCTGTCGAAAACTCATGTATATCTCACAAATACAGTATAAGTCAATCCTTGGATATCCCATTTTCAATCACACTCGTGTCCCTCTTTGTTTTTGTAGGGAAGAGAAATGTTTTGGTTCCTTGCGCAAGTCCAAAAGTGGCGAACTAGCACACCCGCTTTTGATAACTTTTGATGATTTAAGTCTTTTAGAGGCCACCGGGTGGCAGTTCAAGAGATGCACCACTCGAAAAGCTTTAACCAGGACCCCTCAATCGCACTGCTTCTCGGCGCAGCCCAAGAGCATAGGGAATGTTGTGTGTATTAAAAGCCGGGATCTCGAAGTATCTCGAGATACTGAATGACTTGTTTTGCTCTTGGCAAAGCATTGACTCTCGAGTGATTGGTCGAAGTTGCCGACAGTATTGCGAAACCTGCTTCTTTTTTGAGAAAATTGCCCGCACGGGCTCTCATATCATGCGACAATCGTTCTCTGCAAGAGCTGATCAAATGTTTCAATGATTAATGCAAAACTGTGCTTTGTTCGTTTTTTGGAAGATGGTCAGCTCATGAATACAAGCTTTTGCGAGGTTGAGTCTGCAAACGCTTCCTTCATTGACTCGAGTTTTAAACATCCCAGTGGATCACAGGCAGCCACTATGGTAAGGATCCAGAAGCTTCGTTCGGTCTGTGGTTTTAAATGTGTTTTTGTTCTCTGGAACCACCGTGGGCTTGGGGCTGCGACTCAATCAGCCTGCGTATGGAATAGTTGCATAATATATATATATACATATCGGATCATGTTCAATCATCTTCCAGTCGCATGGATGGTCTGGGACTGCTTCCCCGCCACCATTTTGGGGCCCTCTGCCAGAGGCCGCGCCCGAAGGATTTTTGTCAAGGGGGAGGTGAGTATTATCTTGGGATCCGGATGCCCGGGCGGGAGAGGCAATCCATTCCCTAGGCCTCCAAGTACCTTGTGAGGTGGTGCTTGGGGTGGGTGCCAGGAGGGTCCAGTCATACCTTCTGAGGAAACGTATAGACACCTGCGGTGCCTGGGCCGGGGAAAAAAGGGGGCTGCACGTAGACACCGCGAGTACGGCCGGTGCCAGGCCTTGCCAGGTGCCCGGACGGTTTCGAAATCCAATCCATTCTTTTCACAGGGTTGGTACTTACAAGCCTCCATATAAACCCCAAAAAATAGGGCTAACAAAAATCGCTTTCTTGGGGTCCCAACCCCGCGATGTTGTAGAGGAAATTCAAAAGCCCCCTATATGTTTCACGTAAGCCGTGCTTTCCACCGGCTCCCCGGACCACCCTTCTGCCTTCCCCCTGCACTTCCGTCGACCAGTGTTGCAAACCGATATAAACCGCCGACGATTCGTCGGTAAACCCACCAGCTGGCCCAGGTGATGTCGTCGGCTAAGCCGGCTTAGCCAAGGACATCGGCCCAATGGCCAATCTTAAGGGTTGGGCCGTGGCTAAGCCACGGCCTCGTCAAAGAGAGTCCTTGTTAAAAGGGGTCCCAACAAACAGAATCCTTGTTAAAAGGGACCTGGTCAAAGACTTGTTAAGGGTTCCCACCAAACAGAAACCTTGTTCGAGGGGCCCCATCTAACAGAATCCTTGTTCGAGGGACCCCCACCAAACAGAATCCTTGTTAAAGTGGCGCCGTGAAACAGAATCCTTGTTCAAGGAGCCCCGTTAAACCGAATCCTTGGTCAAGAGACCCCGAACGTAGACCATTTTGCTTTAAACCGATGAGAACATAATCGATTGGATATTGGAATACCAGTATGCTTTTCTTTGCAACATTCCAATCGATGATTTTCTCGGGTGTGGCAGACTGCCGACACCAGGACGTCATCTCCTCTCCGTCAGCTGAGCGGCTGAGCGATCCTCCAGCAGGGCGGCGAAGGCCAAGGACGTGGACTGAACGCCACGAACGCCCTGGCGTTCGTGTACCGCCCACGCCGCGCGGGGTCCAAGCCGCTCCACGGTGACCGACTCCGGACCTCCCCAAGAAGAGTACCGTGGGAGTCAAAGTACAAAGAATGGTCTGACTATAGGTAACCCGAGTCTAGAAATGTCCAACATACTTCAGTCTTTGCATTCAGTGAATTGGTTTAGACCAGAACTGCAGAACACACAAACCAAAAACATCCAAACGAGCCCGGACATCTCTGCACCTTCACTTCTTCTCCGAGCCGTATGTTCTGGAACATGGGGTCTTCCACACCAGATATCCACCAAACAAAGAGGGCCCCGACTCAAAAGCGAAATCAGTTGGCGAGAAACGTTGGTTCTGGACCCTGACGCTCTGGGTGTGATTCTCCCTCCAACAGGCGCTACTGTATGATGAAATTCGATGTGCTCGTTCCTTGCTTCACTGTTCGGGCCCCACAGCATAAGCAATGGACAGTCCTTTTCCTTCATAGAAACCAACTCAAACATACCCAAACATACCAGGACCTTCAAAGTGACCTCTTTGGAGTCTCTGTTTGTGACCTTGTACAGATCTAAGTGACCTCATCCTGGGATATCAAAGGGTCACTTTGAAGGTCCTGGTCTTTCGTCTCGGCCGATCCGACACCGCTACCATTCTTCCACCCGCCAACGCTTTGGGTCGGGCACAACGACAACGGCGTTGGAAGGCCCATCTTCCCTTCCCCTCCTTCTTCGGATCTCCTTACTTGACATGACAACTGAGGTTTAAAACGTGGCTCAAGTGACCTCATCCTGGGATATCAAAGGGTCACGTACTGAAGGTCCTGGTAGATGGTCCGGATTTCCACCATGAGATCCGGTGTTCTCCTCCATCGCCACCCGCCTGCGCCAGCCGCTCCCGGACGGCGCTGCTGTCGCCGCCCAAGCGGTCGCCGGACCAGGCCTTGGCTGAGAGCCAAATCAAATGGGGTCCCGAAATAGACCCTACCCTAAGGGTCCAGCACCGTCCTGAGGATGTCCTTTGACCCCCCAAGACCATTCTCTGGAAGTACTTTCACCTCCAAGACCATCCTCAGGAGGTACCTGGACCCTATGGGCTAGGCCTCCAAGTCCTTCTGAGAAGATGTTTGGGGTGGGTGCCAGCAGGGTCCAGTCACTTCTGAGGAGGTACGACTGGAGGTGTAGAGGAACTGGAACAGATTCTTCGAAACCCCGAAACGCCTCGGACTGAGCCTCCCTCTCCCGTAGCTCTGCTTGCCTCACCTCCCGCCTCCTCTCCGGTGGCCCCTCCAAGCGGCCCACGCGTCGCCCCACGTCACGGCCGGACCGCCGGCCACGAAGGCGCAGAAGGCGCACTGCGCGGCCGCCACGAGCACCGGCTGCCTCGGAAGATAGAAGTCGCGGAGTCGGCGGGCGGCACGAGTGGGTGGAACTCTTAGTGATGGAAGTATAGATAGGGTTGCACCAGCAGTCACAAGACGGGGTGGTGTGAAACGTCCTCTTACGTGAGTGGATGGAGTAGCTGGGCACCCCGACTACCTCCATGGATCGCACCCCGTCTTGTGACGTGACTGCAGGGATAGGGTTGCAGGAACATATACCGGAGGTGGTCCGAAACCAGCTCGTTCCCTGGTTCTTCACCGGACCTCCAAGATGGCCGGATGCTCCTGGACCGACCTCGATGGGTCCAGGATGTACCATGTCATGAACACGGATGCACCATTAGGACACAACAGCCCAGTCATCAACGAATCGACCATTAGGACTCCATCAAATAGATGAGTTGAATGGCATCACCCCAGTGACCGAACTTGATTCCATGGTTGGTTTGAGGTCACAAAAGAGGCTTGTAAGTTCGGCCAAGTTCGGTCACTAGGACTCCAGTTCGTTCGGTCACCTGGAAGGTCCTGGAAGGACTACACTTTGCACATGGATACATTGAGGCAAACAGCACGTTGAACCTTTCACACTCACCTGGCCACAGCCACTGCTTTCACCAGCTGCTTTTTACAGACCGCGCGATGGGATTCGATGAACAGTCCATCAAGCGCGGCCCTCGCCAGAGGAACCCGCGAGAGCGCCTCGAGGGCCTCGAGCGTCGAACGGATCCACTCAGTCTGCCATGATCTTGCCTCCAGTCCATCCAGTTCGACTGAATCTCAAGCCTTTGACACATGGACAAAGGACCTCCCGCAACACATAGAGGAGCAACGCAGCCAGTAGAAGCAAGGCCAGCGCCTCTGCCCTTGCAAAGTCGCGCAGGGGCAGATCGCAACTCACAGATTGGAAGGCCTTCTCGTTGAAGAAGACCAACAAATTTCGGTACTCCCACTCATGGAAAAAGCCTCGGCCAAATCCTTGTGCCAACTGATGTGACAGAGAGGGGCAGTAGACGAAGCCTTCACGCCCAATGTGGCGAATGAGATAGCTCCTCACAATTGATTTGTAGCTCCAAGGTGCAATGCGTCTGCTTTTGTCTGTTGGACTCCCAGCTCAGGTCATTTTCGCTACCGGATGGCCATCCTAGGCCCATGTACATGTAATATATGGATATATACCAGGACCACGGAAGGGGTGGTTATTGGATGGAAAATACATAGTCAGGGGTGTCCATAAACCCACCCTTTCCGTGGTCCTGGTATAGATATCGATCTCTTCTTAGACCACACACCACCCCAAATCTGAAAAAAATCAAAACCGGCGTCACTCATCTGGGTTTCTAGCCATAGCAACTCTGGCTTTTCTACGCTGTCTGGAGCCCTGAAACAAGTGGGAGCATTGGAACTGTGGGGCTTGCCTCATGGGTTGGAATGCATTGCCCAAAAAAAAGTGATTCGTGATTCCACCGCAGAAGTTCGTAGAATTGGCGACTTCCCAATGCCGTGACATGCTCGTCAGGAGTTGAATCGGGTCTTTCAAAAGCTGCTGAAAAGTCGGCTGCCCGAGGCTCTGCGAGTGCTCGTTCACGTGGCCATGACCTCCTTGACCAATGTAGGCCCAAGAAAGCAGAATTCCCACCTTTGCTTGCACTAAGGTCTCAATAAAATTGTGCTCGAACTTGGGGGAGATGTGCTCCTTAGATGGCACATGGCACGCAGTCTTTCTTTCTGCAAGCAAGGTTTAAAGCAAATGAAAATAAGCGTGAACAACTTTCAAGACACCTGGGCTCCAATCTGCCTCATGCGCTTTCACAGAAACAATTGTGAAAAAGGAAGGTTTTGCGAGGCAGAGTGCCTCATTCGGGCATGTTGAACCTCTGGATGGATTTCGAACACTTGAAGAGGCTCCAACATGCTCCAACCAATAGGATAACCCCAAAGACACTCCCGAAAACTCACACCCTGAGAATGGCACCCTGAGTACGACTGCTTTTCCTCCACCACAAAACCGGTGGTTTTGGGGGGATCGGCGGTCTGAAGAGCGGGGCCCCCTCAATTGGAAGATTCACGAAGCCCAGACACGACAACGTCGACTGGCAGGACGGACTGCCACCACCCCAACTGATCGGCAGTCCTATGACAGTCCCACTGACTGACTTCCGCAGTCCATCCTGGCATACATAACCACCCCAGGCAGTCCGTCCTGGCAGTCGTGTCTGGGAGCCCTTGGGGCGCACCACCACGGGGACCTCCATCCCCATGCCGATCGGTCCAGGCCGCCGCGACCTCGAAGGAGATCACATAATCCACGTCCGGAAGAGGGTAGAACTCTTCCAGGTTCCTCAATTTGTTCAGCTTTCCACGTACTGAGTCCCTAAAATGTTAAGCTGTTTGGGCAGGAACATACCATTCAACTTCCAACGACATTGCTTCCTCAACTTGTGAACGCTAGCTTTCCACATGAGTGTCAGGAGTCCCGAGTGTACTGAGTGTGCGCCGGTGGGGGAGGAACATACCCTAGGATCTTCTTCCAACGACAGGCCAAAATTTGTTGCCTTTTTTCATCCATCATAATCTAGCCCAGTTGGGCAAACATTTGGCATAGTTGGAAGATCCAGGTATATAGACCCTTTGGGGGGGGCTCCGACCTTCTAAGGATGTGGTTGGAGCCATTAGAAGAGTTCTTCATTCCTTTTGTCCTTTGAGTGGAGCCCAAACAAACTCAAAACGTAATGCATGTTCATGTCTGTTTCTGTCCAGCAAGGTGAACACGGATGTATATATTTGCCCTTAGATTTGCTGTCCAGGAATGAGCCACATCTTCCCCAGATTCCAGGTTCACCCAAGGAGACACCGGCAACAACAAAATCAACAAGCTGTGACAAGCTACGTTCACTCCCCCGAGAATGGTCAAAAGAAGCTTGTGAAAGCTATATAGTTTTATTCATGCTTCATATCCACTGACTGGGTAGGACAAGTGATGTCGACATCTTCTTCCAAACAGGAGATGTACAAAAACACACACACACACACAGGAATGGGCCATGCGCCACGTTGTTCACCACGTGCACGTGGTGGTTCACACACGTGGTGCTTCACCGCGACGGTTCTAGCGACCCTCCAGAACGCACCCCGGATCGGATGCCCGAGGTTCCACTGCTGGTAATTGGAGCCCAAGCTCTGGATGCCTTTGTAGCCATCAAGGCCTCGCCCGGCTCCGCGGAGTCTCGGCGGCCCGCGGCAGGGGGCCGCGGCGTTGTTGGGACTGCCAGGACGGACTGCCGAGAAACAGCCAGACCCCTCAAACCACCACCCCTGGCCTGATCGGCATATATACACCATACATGGAGCGTCTTGGGCTATAGTGTCACTGATAGAATCCCAAGTATTTCGGGGTGCCTCATGATAGTCCCTACACGAGGTTCGAGGATCTCAATTAACCACCCCTGTGAAACAGGGGGTCCTCGTAGGTGATCTTATAGGTCTCCAAACAGGAATCCTTCCGGCTTCCAGGAAGTGGCGGTTCGTGGAAGGATCAAACGAACCCGCTCGACCTATGGGTAGACTGACCCAACCGGTCCAATTTCATCGTCTGGCTCCAGGGCAATCGATCGAAGAAACGGAGATACAACTCTCCAGTAACTATAACTGAGATCCTCACGAGCCCATGTGCCTGGACCCGCCAGTTCGTACCTTAGAAAATGGGACATGAGTGACATGACCCGACCTAAAAAACCGGCACTATAGTACCCATGTTCTGAAGTACGAATTGAGACTCCATGTGGCGTCGTTTCTTGGTATGTCTTGGTGGACACTCCAGCTTGCCTTGTCGTGGCTCGTCGCCTCAGTGGACCCTCAAACCTGGGTTTCCTTCCTCCGACCCGACCCGGCCGGTCGGTCCCAACGACCCTGTACGTCCGAACACGCCGGCCACGCCGATGGCCTAAGCACTTCACGCCCGGCACCGTGTTGAGATTGTAGGTCACCTGAGGTGACCGGGGGAAAACGTGTTGGTGAAGCAAATCCATGCCCACTTCGCTGGTCCCAAAACACGACACGTCCCAGACACTGCCACGGACGGACTGCCGAGAAACAGCCAGACCCCCCCTGGCACCACCACCACCCAGTCCGGCCCTTTCTCGGCAGTCCGTCCTGGCAGTCCCAGACGTGTCGTGATCGGCCAAAGGCCTCGGACCTGTTCGGTTTCACTGACCGAAGGACTCGACGCGGCCATAAACCATAAAACCCATACCGGCTGGGTCTATCCTATTAGCTGGACCCAGTGGATGATGATGGGTAGTAGAGGCCTTGTCCAAAAGTAGTGATAAGTGTTTACTGGTCCTGTTACAGGTAATAGGACAGACTTAGAGGGTGTTTGGGGAGGGATTAGAGGGTCCAGGTAGAGGTCTATAGGGACCTATATAGGGAATATCAATTCCTTCCCAGACGCGACACATGGGACTGCCAGGACGGACTGCCGAGAAACAGCCAGGGGTGCTTGGTTTGGGGTCCATGTAGGCGTGGCATGGCGCGGCAAAGGGCACTCCCAAACAGGTTGTGCCATGGGAACTTGTATCCAACCCAGGCCATAGGTCGCCACCTCTTCGGAGGGTCATTCTCTTGGATGGGAACACGAGTAGACTGGCCAGTTGGGGTTAAGAGTCAACGAATCGAAGCATCGCAGAACCACTCCACCGGCCAGTGTCCATTCACTGCTGTGTGGTCAGAACTCACCAGTGGGCAGAACCCCAAAGAGCCAGAACCCTTCCAAGTGACCAAACTTGAGAGATCCCACACCCCAGCAGTCACAAAGGGGTGGTGTTTAGTCCTCAAGTGAGTGGAGTAGCTGGGCACCCCTAACCTCCATGGATCGCACCCCGTCTTGTGACTGCAGGCCTATAGAGTTAGTCTCTGAAAAAGCGGAGCACATCTCCAGAGACTCGTGACGTTCAGTTCGGTCACGAGTTCGGTTCGATTCCGCTCCGCGACTCTTCATGACGCCGTGGCCAATGGCTCGCCTCGTGCTCGGCCGCAGACTGAGTCGGCCCGGTCACCGACGCCCCACAGTCCGTCCCTTGGAGCTGACGAGGTACTTGTCCGTTGCCACAGCCCAGCTCCAGAACGGTCACGTTGCGCTGCAGGCGCCACACCTCTCCTGGCGCCACACAGGAGAGAATCATGTCAAAGCAATTAAAGAAGACGTCAGTTGTGGACTCTTGGATGAATAACCCCCCCCATTTGGACCGTCAAGCCTCTTCACACACTAGGGTTTGATTCATCAAGAGTCGATATGATACAGAACAGTTATACGTATACATTTACATGTTACAGTCAATGTGTTTCTACTGCGTTATGATTGACCAACACAGTACAGCTCTACCTCGCCATTCCGCCCATGGCTCCGGCAAAGAACATGCCCAAATTCCGTTCCCGAAGGTCTCGATATCTGTGGCCCTCCACCACCTTCTCATGCGAGAAGACGCCCTGGTGTGTGGGTGCAGAGTCCACCTAAGCAGCGTTGCAAACGCACACGCGCGCGCGCGTGCGCGAACGACCAACGCTTCAAAAAGACTGGGGAATGACCGGGTCTTGATGGGTCTATATAGAGGCCAATTCTAGGCATATCCTAGTGGATCATGTCTGCTGGGATGCTCGTGAAAGCACGCGGGTTGTCTGTGTGCGCTCGTGCATGATGGCAAGCTGCTAATGTATCATATCTTGGGTCTATCCTATTACCAGCCAGTAACAGTGGATGATGATGGCTTCTAAAGGCCATGTTCAAAAATAGCGAAAATGGTCTACTGACTGTTACACGGAACAGGACAAAAACAAACACAAGCTAAATCTGTCATTTATAATGGATTTACTTGACCCCTCCGCGCAGTGAAAGTTGTAAGTTGTAACACCAAGAGTTGTACGTTGCGCCGCTTTCTGCGCCCCCGATCCACTCATGGCAGACCCAGGGCGAAAAAATGGCAATTCCGGAATACGACGAACTGCGTCACCTCAGACTCGTTTCTTTCAGACTCGTCACCTCAGTGTAGCCTGACCCCACGAAGTAGTTCACAGGTGTGAAGATGGTGGTCAAGGAGACCACGATCCAGGTGGGAGTCCGTTCCAGGCTGAAGAAACACCCCAGGCAAACGAGGCATACGAGGCCAATCCAGAGTGCTAAGTACTTGCCATCCTTGGATTTGCCAACGAGGCAAGCGTGGAAAAGTCTTATAACAAATATCCCAGGTATGGGGATTAGGGACAAACAATTGCCTGATCCACAAAACCAGGCATCGAGATGGCCTGGCTCCCTCATGGGTCTGGAGCAACGACCCTCCTCTCTTTGAGCCGAGAAGAGCATGGGCGGCCGACGTGAACCGACGGCCGATCAGCAGGCTGGTTCACCCAAGTCCCAAAGCCAGAAACTCGGCTCGGCCGCATGTTTGCATCAATACAACATACATCGCCATATTCAATCTGGTTGAAAAGGTGTCAATGTAGGCAAACAAAATACCCAGACGCTCCAAACGGCCCTTGGTCCCTCAAAGCCTAGGGATTTGAGACCCCAGACCCCTCCATATGAGATTCCTACCCCTCTATATATGACGGTCCATGAGTGTCTAGGTATAGTGTATATTAATATCTACTCCATGTATCTGCATGCCTGGAGCCTTTGGGCATGCATCGCACATCATAGCACATGCATGCCGTCCAAACCATACATTCCACATTGGACGTCTGTACGTGCAGCCGAATTCCAGCGGTGCCCTACATACGATTCTCTAAATGTCCCACATCCTCAGATGGTTTTTCAGGACTCCGTCTGTTTCGTTGGAAAATAAAGGTTCACCAACATGTTGTTCATATTGAGTGAGAAATCATGGGAAATCCATCCATCCAAAAAAGGTTTTTTCCTGGGTAGGATAAGGACCAACCATCCACTGGCACCCACCCAACCATGGCTTGGACGTGCTTGGACCATCCCTGGCAGCGCCGATTTCAAGGGCCGGATCGCATCGCGAAATAGCATGAATCTCCTCCTCCCAACAGCTGGTGAACTCCACTTCCACTCATTCTTGAGCCGTTGAAGTCCGTTCCCCTTCGTCCCGTTGCCCATGCAGTCCGGGTCCGCCAGCTCTCCGACCTGGTCCGCCCGAGTCATCCGTTGAAGTCCCAGGGGCGCCACGGCCGTCAACACCTCGCCCCCGCGCAGCCCGTTGGAGGCCACGGTGCTCTCAGGAGCCAACTTGAGTGGCTGCCCATCGGGCCCCATCCTGGACCGGGAGAACGGTTCCGGGGCTTTGGACCGAAGTGGATGGCCTTGGACATTGGGGAACCGGGGAACCACAGCTTTAAACACATGCGATATGTATGTGAGTGTTTTACATGCTTGGAAAAGGGGGGTCACCATCTTCTTTGGTGTTGTTGGTTGCCCACTTAGGTGAACGCAGCACTTCCAAGCAGCCTAGGCTCTCGGCTCTCAACCTCTCCGAATCAACCTGTTGGAGGGGTGACCGTGGATTGGGGGGGACTCGAAAAACCTTCCGGCTGTGGAACCGCTTGTAGGTCCTAAGCTGCTGCTGAGATTTCAAGAGGCCAGGCCGTACGAGAAGCCACGCCCATTCTTTGGATCAAAATGGTCTAAACTGCCCTGCCTTAAGGCATGCCCTGAACCATGTTAATTGACTCTGGTGCGCCGCCGGACCACCCCAACCACCACCCGCCACCAATAAAGCGACGCTGCGACGATCCAGATATACTGCGCTGAGCAACAATCTCAAAAAGCGCTTCCCCAGCTGGTGCTGAGCATCCATCTTCACATCTCGTATCCGCCAGTCCGGTAGCACCTGCCGGTCGTCCCGGTAGTCCAGTGCTGCCGGGCTACCCGGCAGCTGGGGTTGAAACCCCAGGTCCAGGAAGGGGGGAGGGTGGCTCTCCATACAGGTCCAATCTGACCCGGACGGTCCAGTCTCCCTAAACACATCTAAACACCAAATCGACTGATGTCTTTCTATGCGATCAACTCCCGAAAAAATGAGGACCAACTGACCTGTTCCTGAAATCAGTGGCGATGCCGGGTTGAAAAAGAATACTCATCGCCTCGTTCTCCCCTGTCCGATGAGGTCCTTCTCCCTGACTTCTTCCGACCGGCCCCAGTGCCTTGAGGGTGGTGCCATGACCACTGGGCAAGACGACCTGAAGCTCGAAGCTCAATGGATTCATCCTGCCTTCTGCGCCGATACGCGTGGCCGGCGTCTGACGCAACACCACGCAAACCCACCGTTCCCGCGGGGGGGGGGGTTGGCCGGAAAAGACCGCAAATGGGCGGTAGCCCGAAGTTCTGTCTGAAACGCTGTGAGTTATATATTTGTCTATTATAGCTATAGAATATTTATGTCTAACCAGGACCCTCCTGTCGGGGTGTCCATTGGACAACCCACACTACCTATAGGCTTAGTGCCTTCGTTTCGAAGCTGGGACTGAGGTGGGTGCCAGTTGTCGGGTTCAGTCCTACCGAACCGGTTTCGAGGTACGAAGTCCGGAGCCCAAACGGGTCTTGTTTGTGGTGGAACGACCCCTCCTGTCCCCCTGAACCTCCCCGCTTCCGACCGGTGGGATCCAACCGGATCGTGTTCACCCACCCCTTGGGATTGTGGCCTCTTAGAGTGGCCTGAGTGGCCCCCCCCACTTGAATTGAAAGCTTCTCAAAAAGATGGGGGGGTACATGGGTATATGAAATCAAGAGTCTACATTATAATTAAAAGCTATCGAATTTATGGGAGAGACTACGGTGACTAAGAATCAAAGACCAGGACCTTCCAAGGGGTGCCCTGTCTGGAAGCCCCCCAACCCCACCATCCAGGACCTCCAGACAGGACACCCCGAAAGAACATCTAGGTCCAGGGAGTCGATCATTCGCTGAACATCCCAACAGAGGTTGAAGCACCCTAGTTCGACTATAGGTACCCCAGGTTTTCCGGGTCCTATAGTCCCGGTCACTTAATCCAAGAGAGGTAGCCAGTGACCTGAACTAGGACCCATCACCTGGGGTACCCTGGCCTGGGATGGTCGAACGTGACCGGGTCCTGACCCACCTCTGTTGCTTCCACCGTTGGATCTCAGGGGGCGGATCACCGGCCACTGCACCGGTCGCTCTCGTGGTAGGATCCAAGTTGGCTCACCAGTATGTGCTATACGTATGTAGCCTAGGGATCCCTTCTCAGGTTCTCAGGTAGGATCCAAGTTGGCGCCTACATAAATAGTCTCCGTCCTCACCGTACCTGAGAAGGTATGTGGATCCATAGGGTGTACTATATACACAATATATAATATATGCACTATACATTGGCATGCAATGTCAAACTGCTTTTTCGTTTGCAGCTCTGCTTTACAGGCAGGCTCACATCTCACAATGATATCATGTGATCGGCAGGTCGCTGTCGATTGCAGGATGTTGCAGGCGCAACATCACGGTGTCATACCTCACAGCCTCAACTTGATAGACAGCTTCCAAGAACCAAACCCTTCGAACAAAAAAGAACACGGCGGACGCCATCGGGTCCTCCTTGGCGGTCAAGTAGTTTTGGCGCCGGCCATGGCGGTCCACCGAGGCGCGCACGAAGCGTTGCTCGTGCACCGAGGCGCGTCGGAGGCGCCACTCGTGGAGGCACGGTCGACTGGATTTACGACCCGAGGCACAACGGTGAATCGGAGTGGCACGAGTGTGGCACCAAGAAGCAGTGCTCCAAGCTGCTCACTCTGATCTGGTGAGATATGGATATATGCATGAGATTCCAGAGGTTTTTCATGACCCGAACGTTCGACTATCCCAGGCCAGGGTACCCCAGGTGACTGGTCCTATGGTCCTGGTCACTGGCTACCTCTCTTCATTGTCATATCCATTTGGGCTCTAGGTAAGTACCTTCTGAGGGACTGGGGAGGGTGCCCATGGTCGGGTCCAGTCATACCTTCGTTTCTGGAGCCTGCCCGAAATTCGGTACGGGTTGCAAGTATATACTGGTTGGAGAAAACCGGCTATTTGGGCTCTAAGAGGGGTGCTGCTTTCCTCACCCATCTTTGGTGCTGGTGTTTTCCTGGGAAGCCCGGCAAACGGCGTCGAGAGATGCGCGGCATGGCTAAGGCGAATCTGCACCGCCCAGCTCCCAAGAGTCAAATCCCGTGACTGGCCTCGAGTCGTACCGAACGGAAACGAAGGTATGACTGGCACCCGGGCCCCGGTCGTCCCACCCCTCTCAGGTTCGGTACGACTGGAGGCCAGTCACGGCAATGGATTTCTGGGTTAAGCTGGGCCTCCGCTCACATGTTCAACAAACCCAGTTGGAATGTTGATCCAAGTACCTTCTCAGGTTAGGTGATGCAGTTCGACACTGTGGGTGCCAGTCGGGTCGGTTTTGATACCGAACCGGGTCGGTCCGGTACGAGAACGGATCCCTATAGGGATGGATTTGCGGGCTGACCTCAAATCACATGTTAAAACACACCCAATTGGAATCCCTATATATGGCTTCAAACAGCTTTACATATCCCAGACACTCCATGTATGGAATATATTATTGACCCCCCAAACCACCCCAATGTAGGCATATGGTGGCATACATGGAGTGTCTGGGTATTTTACGCTACACCAGCTCAACCGTTCGGGTTCATGGTACTGAAGGCGAGGCCAAATTGCATCACCGGAGCGTGGCATCTCATGCGATCCGACGTCGAAGCATGGGTCGGGCTGCATGTGGTGGTCCAGTTCGGGTCCAGGCACCTCCGTACTTCGGATGGTCGTTGCCGGGGGTTCAAAGGACATCCGAAACGGATGGCCCTGGACCCTTAGGGTGGAGCAACAAAGGATCCCAGTCCATGATGGGCACGTTCACGTGGGGATCCCTGTCCAGTCAGTTGCACCACTTAGCAAAACCACTATAGTGAGCACGCTTTGGTCGCAGCCACGCGAAAAAATAAAGGGATTTCGTGTCTACCCGATCTTACAAGGATGGGGACAGAAGTCCACTCCATGTGATGCGTGGTGACTTGCTGTGTCGAACTCGCCCGAACTCGTGGGATGAACACCACCATCGTCCCCAACACCGTCGGGTCGTCCGCATCAGCACGCCTCAGCTGGCCTCAGCTGGCCGTCGGTGAATCACCCGACGGTGAAAACCGAGTGAAGACGTGAAGCTGTCAGCAGCTCTTCAGCAGCCCCAGACACGCATGGGACTGGAATAGGACTGCCGCCCCAGAAAGACCCCCCTGGCACCACCCCTGGCCTGATCGGCCAATATGGCAGTCCCAAGGAGCGTTTGGAAGCTATTCATCGGAAAAAAAAGGGCGTGGAGCACCAAGTTGAAG